GGCGGGGGCGGGGGGGGCGGGGGCGGGGGTGGTTCTGGTGGTGGGGTTGTTGTATTTTTTTTTGTTTTTTTTGTTTTTATTTTTTTTAGTTTTAGTTTTAGTGATTTCTTCTTTTTCTTTTCTTCTGGGAGAGGGGGAGGAGGAGGAGGCTCTGCTGCTGCTGCTGCTGCTGCTGCTGCTGCTGCTGCTGCAGCAGCAGGAGGCGCGGGCCCCTGCTGCTGTCTGTTTGGTTTTGTGTGTTGCGGGGGTGGGGGGGGCGGTATAGGTGAAGCAGGAGAAAGCTGCTGCTCTCTGTCTTCTGCTGCTGCTGCTGCTGCTGCTGCTGCTGTTGCTTCTGGAGGAGGAGGAGGGGGCCAAGACATATCATCATCACTGTCTCCTGCTGCTGCTGCTGCTGCTGGTGGTGGTTGCTGCTTGTTGTCTCCTTCTGCTGCTAGCACCTCAGCAGGAGGAGGAGGGAAGGAAGGATCAATGCCGACGGAGACACCGGGGGGCAGCAGCAGCGCCTTTACTTTCTGCTTCAAGCTCCGCTTCTTGCTGCTGCTGCTGCTGTTGCTGCTGCTGCTGCTGCTGCTGCTGCTGCTGCTGCGTTTTTTGCTGCTGCTTCTTCTGCGTTTCCTGCTGCTTCTTCTGCGTTTCGTGCTGCTGCTACTGCTGCTGCTCTCAGTGTCGCTGCTGTCGCTGCTGTCGCTTATGCTGCTACCACTACTACTACTACTACTGCTGCTGCTGCTGCTGCTGCTGCTGCTGCTGCTGCTGCTGCTGCTGCTGCTGCTGCTGCTGCTGGTGCTGGTGTGTGTGTCTGTGTGCTGCTGTGTTGCTGCAGTTTGTTTTGTTTGTTTAGGTAAATAAAAGACAGCCTCCTGCACCTCTCCTAGCATCGCTTCTGCTGTTTCATCGTCAGGGTTTATCCCCCCCGGTTTTATATTTTTTTTTTTTGCTGCTGTCTTTGCTGCTGCTGCTGCTGCTGCTGCTGTTGCTTTTGCTGCTGCTTTCTTTAACTTACCTCTTATTCTCTTCCTTTTTTTTTTCTTCTTCGGTGGGCCTGATGTCTCATCATCGTTGCTGCTGCTGCTGTTGCTGCTGCTGCTGCTGCTGCTGCTGCTGCTGCTGCGTCTGCTCCTCTTCCTTGTGCTGCTGCTGCTGCTGCTGTCTCCTCCCGCTTGTATGGAGCCAGCAGCAGGAGAGAGAGAAACAACACGAAGAGCAACAGAAAGAGAAGGAGACAGAGAAAGGAGACAGACAGCAGCAAGAGCTGCCGATACACCCCACCAGGTGTATAGGCACCTCATTCTGCTGTTCAATACATAGCATAAAAAGGAGACAACTGTCTCCTTTTATAAATAAAATAAATAAATAAATAAATAAATAAATAAATAAATAAATAAATAAATAAATAATAAATAAGGAGAGATATAAACACAAAAAAACAATATACAGACAAACAAATGCTGAGGAAGGGCTCCTCTTACTGCTGCTGCTGCTGCTGCTGCTGTTGCTGCTGCTGCTGCTGCTGATGCACCGTTGCTGCTGCTGTTTTTGCTGCAGTAGTGCTGCTGCTGCTGCTCCTGGTGCTGCTTCTGTTGTACTCTTGTTGCTGCTGCCCTGCTGCTGTGCAGCAGCTGCTGCTGCTGCTGCTGCTGCTGCTGCTGCTCTACAGCTGCTGTTTGTACTTCTGCTGCTGCTGCTGCTGCACCGCCGTTGCTGCTGCTGTTGTTGTTGTTGTTGTTGCTGCTGCTGCTGTTGCTGCTGTTGCTGCTGCTGCTGCTGCTGGTCGTCGGCAGCGCTTCTGTCTTCTGTCTCCTTCTGTCTCCTCCTTGAGGCTAAATATATATGTTTATTGCCCTGGTGTATAAAATATATAAAATAAATTATATTATATTATTTTTTATTTTATTTTATTTTATTTTATTTTATTTTATTTTATTTTATTTTATTTTATATTGTTGATATTAATACGGGAGAGGAGACAGATGGTGAGTGCTGCTGTCTGCTGCTGCAGCAGCATCGGCTGTCTTCTTGTTGCTGCTGCTGTGTTGCTGCAGCAGCAGCAGCAGCAACAAAAACGTTTATTTTTTGTATATAATTATATTTATTTAACTCTAATAAATAAAAAATATATATATTTTAAAAAAAGAAAAGAAAGAAAAAAAAACAAAAAAAAAAGGAGACAGAGCCAATGGTCTATAGTTGAGGTGCCTATACACCTCAACTGTCTCTGCTGCAGCAGCAGCAGCAGCAGCAGCAGCAGCAGCAGCAGCAGCAGCAGCAGCAGCAGCAGCAGTAATAGAAGCAGCGCTTTGCTGCTGCTGCAGTTTTTCTCTGTATTTATATTTATATTTACAATAAAAAATATTTATATAATTAAAAATAAATAAAAAGATAAAACAAAAACAAAAGAGACAAAGCTGGTCTTCCTTTCTCTCTCTGCTGCTCTCACACACACACACACACACACATATATATATATATATATA